GCCAACGAGTTCACACCAGGAAGAAACATACAAAGTGTGCAACACATCGTCTGCACAATCATCAACCCTCTGCTCACACCAATGTACTCACACTGGGGAGAAACCATTCATGTGTGAAATATGTATGAAATCATTATCCCTGCTGGTGTCCCTCCATCAAGTGTGAGGTCTGTGATCAAAGTTTCAGATAGTCTTCAGCACTTGTGCAACACCTATGCATTCACACAGGGAAGAAGCTGTTCACGCATGAAGTGTGTGACAAATCTTTCTTGAGGTCTGACACAACAGGATTCACACAGCATTGTAATCATTCTGTAAAAGGTTTCTGCTAAAGGTACTGTGTTGTTTATAATCCTCCTGGGACATGGACAGTGGTGAATTCTCATAGGGGAGAGGCTCTTCAATGGTAATGTTTGTGTCAAGGCTCTCACCCATTTATTACGATCCCAGCTGATCTTAATTCTGGATAGGTCACTTTGTTTTGGTAAAACAAAAATCGCATTTATTGCGAGATACAAATCCATACAGAAGATTGTAAACACAGCAGGCAAAAACAACATTGAGCTCACTCAAAACTTTGAATGAGCCAAAACAACACAGCCATTTTTAAATGACTGAAGATTTTTTTTGCCAGAACATGAAATGAATCTTTGAAGACTGTAACATGAATAAGCAACTAAATCACACTCCAAGCCTGACTGACAATCTTAGATTTGTTTCCAGTGTAATTGCGAGAACAGGCTGGATCATATAGTCATGAGTTCTCTTAAGTCTTAACTTGGATAATAACTGGAACACTGACGAAAATTGAAGTGAATGCTAGAGGGTGTGGCATACCTTTGGGGTGGTCTCCAAACAAATGAAAATTTTTGAAGATTCATAGGAAACTGATGGATAAGAAGTGGAGTCACATATAGACACAGTAGTCAAGAAGGCATTGCCTTTATTGGTCAGTGCATCGAGTATAGGAGTTGGGATGACATGTTGCGGCTGTTCAGGACATTGGTTATGCCACTTTTGGAATACTCCGTTCAATTCTGGTCTCCCTGCAATAGCACAGATGTCGTTAAACTTGAAAGGGTGCAGAAAAGATTTAAGGAAAAGGATGTTGCCTGGTTTGGAGGGTTTGAGCTATAGTGAGAAGCTGAATATGCTAGGGCTATTTTCCGTGAAGCATTGGCTGTTGAGAGGTAACCTTACACAGATTTAAAAAATGATGAGGGTCATGGATATGGTGAATAGACAAGGTCTTTTTCCTAGGGTAGGGGAGTCCAAAGCTAGAGGTCATAGCTTAAGGTGAGAGAAGAAAGATGTAAAAGGGACCTAGGGGCTAACATTTTCATGCAGAGGCTGGTGCGTATAAGAAACAGCTGCCAGAGGAAGGTGGAGTTTAGTACAATTACAACATTTAAAAGGCATCAATGGTTAAGGGGTTAAAGGGATATGGACAAATACTGGCAAATGAAGTGAGATTAATTTTTGCAAATCATGAATTGCCCATGTGAAGATTTTCATGAACAACCTTCTTTATTAGCTGCAGTCCAAATTGCTGCAGTCAAATCCTCACTGCTGTAGTTTGTAGAGGGCTCAAATAGCACAGCTCAAATGGCACTGACTCCTCATCAATGGCAGACTGTTGAGAGAGGTGGCTGCCAAGATCTGACAAGTACTCAATGTATTCCACAGTCGCTACTTCATTGTTTGCAGGAGGTGGAATATTTGGCTGAGAGAGGCAGGTTGGTAAGGTTTGTTTTAGTAATATTCAAAAACAGGCCAAGTTTCTTGCATGGAGACTTAAGAAATTGAGAATGGATGCAAATCTCTCACAGAGTGGCCAACTACACTGCAGTCATCTACAAACTGGAGATCATGTGTATCTATGATGGTCAGTTCATTTTGGACACAGAGAGACCTGAGGTAAGTGAGTTTTTTTATCAAGATGTTATTTAATAATAATAATACCAGAGGGTTATTGATCACCGAAGGGGTTAATATCTGTTGGGTTGATGGTAAATAGAAGGGGCTATCACACAGCCTTGCTTGATACCAGTCTGGATTTTGTTGGTTTCTCTTTCAGATCTTCCACTCGAGGCAGTTACAGTTACGAAGCAATTGCTGGATTGGGATGAAGTTCTTGGCCACACAAACCATTGGAGCACAATCCACAGTGCTGAGCAATCAACTGAGTCAAATAGTTTGGTGAATTTGAATTAATTTTATTGTCACACATACTCAAAAGAGTACAGTGAAAAGTTTATACATCGCCACTTACAGCGCCAACCTATAAAGGTGCCCAGGTACAGCTTCTTTAGTTAAGATCTTAGAAAACAGAGAAATAAAATGTTCAGCATTGCAGAAATAAAAGTCCAAAAGTGCGGTATTCCAACTGATACCAAGATGGCATCCAGCCTCCAGTCCGTCCTGGCTCCAGACTGTGCCGTGCTTCACCTTGAAGATCACAAGGCTGGGAGATTGCTCTAGTATCGCTTCAAGACCAGGAGACCACACTGAGGCCATGCTAGGCCAAGAGGATGCCATGCTGGCAGGCTGCCTGCCATGCCGGGTGGTTGCCATGGGAGGCTGCTATGCCATGCAGCGGTGTCACCACAGAATGCCAGGCTGAGTGGTTGCAACACCATGACAGGAGGACACCACAGGAGGCTGCTATGCCAGGCTGGGAAATCGCCACACCAGGTCAGGAGTCACATCGATGAATGTAACAAAGAATTCCTCATCGTCTTCTCAATATTTCTCTTGGATTTTTCTGGCCACAAAATCATTGCAGACATAAATCTAAAAGGTCTAAAGCCAAGTCAAAGTTCTAAGTGCTGTTTGTATCACTCGGTCCACGTGGGGGACTGATGCTGCTGGACAGATCATCAACCTGTTCGATCAGTGATAAACATCCACCTAGCACAAGGACATTACAAGGTTCAAAGTCCAACAGGAAGAACAGCAATGTCTCAGCCTGAACACAGGCAGATCATAGTAAGTAAGGACATACAGAACATAGGGTGCTTAGACAGAGTGAAGCATACAGATTACACTGCACAGGAGGTGTGTGAAGCAAGATCAACATTAACATGATTGAACTTAGAGAGTTCATTCATCAGTCTAATAATGGCAGGGAAGAGCTGTTCTTGAACCTGTTGGTGCACGTGTTCAAGCTTCTGTATCTTCTGCCCAATGGAAGAGGTTGTAGGAGAGCATTACTGCAGTGGGAGGGGTCTTTGATGAAGTTGGCAGCCTTTGCGTGGCAACAAGCCGTGTAAATTGAGTCCATGGATGGAAGGTTGTTTTCCGTGATGGTCTGGGCTGTGCACACAACATTCTGTAGTTTCTTACGGTCCCGGGCAGAGCAGTTGCTGTACCAGGCTGTCATGCACTGGATAGCATGCTTTCTGTTGTGCATCTGTAAGAGTTGGTGGGAGTCCTCATTAAGATGCTGAATTTCCTAAGCCGCCTGAGGAATGAGAGACATTGTTGTGCCACCTTGACTGTTGCATCTGCATTGGAAGTTCAGGACAGGTTGCCAGTTATCGTAACTCCTCGGAACTTGACACTCTCAACCCTCTCAACCTCTGCTGCGTTGATGTAGATGGGGTCATGTTCTCCTCCTTTCTTTCTGAAGTCAGTGATCGATTCTTTTGTTTTCTGACATTGAGAGAGAGGTTGTTATCATTACACCACGACACCAAGCCTTCTATCTCCTTTCTGTATTCTGACTCATCATTATAGGTATTCGTCCTACTACAGTGGTGTTGTCAGCTAACTTGTAGATGGTGTTCTTTCGGAATTTGGCTCCACAATCGGGGGTGTACAGGGAGGACAGTAGGGGGCTGAGAATGCATCCTTGCGGGGCTCCAATGTTAAGTGTTATTGTGGAGGAGATGTAGTTGTCTATCTCACTGATTGCAGACTATGGATCAGAAAGCTGAGGATGCAGTTGCAGAGGGTGGAACCGAGACTTAGGTCTTGGAGTTTTGAGATCAGTCTGGAGGCGATAATGGTGTTGAAGGTTGAGCTGTAGTTGTTGAGCACGAGTTTGACAGAGGTGTCTTTATTGTCCAGACGTTCCAGGCATGAGTGCAGGGCTACGGCAATGGAATCCACTGTGGACCTGTTAAGTCAGTAGGCAAATTGTAGGGATTGAGTCAGGCTGGGAGACTCGAGTTGATGTGGACCATGACCAGCCTCTCGAAGCACTTCATCATTATGGAGGTCAGAGCCACTGAGCAGTAGTCATTAAGGCACATTGCATTTATTTTCTTAGGTACCGGGATGATTGTGGTACTTTTGAAGCATGTGGGGACTTCGGATTGTAGGAGGTAGAGTTTCAAGATGTCAGTCAATACCTCCGCCAGCTGGTCTGCAACAGGATGTAAGTGCTCAGTCAGGGACCTCGTCCTGGCCCGTCGCTTTCCTTGGGTTGGCTCCCAGGAAGACCAATCTGACATCTGCAGCTGGAAAGGTGACTGGAAGGGTTTGACTTGTGTAGCTTCACTCATATTCCAGGTGAAGTGTATGTAGGCTTTTCTACAGAATCCAGACGAACAGAGATTCTCTCCAATGTTTTGATGACTCAGAATGTACACTGACTGTATAAAAGCCTCGTCATACACCAAACACCTGAATGGTTTCTCACCAGTGTGAGTCCTCTGGAGCTCACGTTGGAGGTGTGGGTGAAAGCGCTGTCATACAATCATACCTGAAGTGTTAGTTACTTTCTGAATCTTCTCATGTCCCAGGAGGTTTGAAGAAGTTGCAAAACTTGTATTGTGAACCTCCCATTTGGAAAGTTCCTCCCTTTGTGAATCCTCTGATGAAGCAGGGGACTTGATAAACAGTTTCTCACCTGTGTGAATACATTGGTGCCTGTGACGTTGTGATGAGTTTGGGAATGATTTATCACACACCTCACACATGAATGGTTTCTCCCCTGTGTGAATTTGTTGGTGTACACGAAGGGTTAATGAATCTGACAATGACATGTCCAGACCTCACGTGAATGGTTTGTCCCGTGTGTGAATTTGTTGGTGTACGTGAAGGGCTGATGAGCCTGAGAATGATTTGTTGCACATATCACACACGAATGGTTTCTCCCCTTTGTGAATTTGTTGGTGTCTTTGAAGCTTTGATGACTCTGAGAATGACTTGTTGCATTCCTTGCATTTGTGAGGTTTCTCCCCTGTGTGAATTCGTTGGTGTATGTGGAGCTTTGATGACTGAGAGAATGCTTTTTCACATACCTCACACACGAATGGTTTCTCTCCTGTGTGAATTCATTGGTGTCTGCGGAGATTTGATGACTCTGAGAATGTTTTGTTGTATTCCTTGCACCTGTGAGGCTTCTCCCCTGTGTGAATTTGTTGGTGTCTTTGCAGCTTTGATGACTCCAAGAATGTTTTGTCACACACCTTGCAGATGAATGGTTTCTCCCCTGTGTGAATCCTCTGGTGGATCAAGAGTCTTGATGAGTCACAGAATGATTTGTCACACCACTCACACAGGAATGGTTTCTCCCCCGAGTGGATGTGTTGATGTATCCGGAGGTCTGAAGGTTGCAAGAATGATTTGTCACACACCTCACATCTGAATGGTTTCTCCCCTGTGTGAATTTGTTGGTGTTTGCGGAAGTTCCATGAACATGAGGATCATTTGTCACACACCTCACGTAAATGGTTTCTCCCCTGTATGAATGCGTCGGTGTCTATGGAGGCTTGAACAGTCTGAGAATGACATGTCACACACCTCACATGTAAATGGTTTCTCCCCTGTGTGAATGTGTTGGTGTGTTTGAAGTTTTGATGACTCTGAGAATGATTTGTTGCATTCCTTGCACTTGTAAGGTTTTTCCCCTGTGTGAATTCGTTGGTGTCTGCAGAGGTTTGATGACTCTGAGAATGTTTTATCGTACACCCCACACATGAATGATTTCTCCCCCATTTGAATCCTCTGGTAGAGCAAGAGTCTTGATGAGTCAGAGAATGATATATCACACAACTCATGTGTGAGTGTTTTTTCCTTTGTATGAATGCATTGATGTCTGTGGAAGTGCGATGAATCTGAAAATGATTTTTCACAACAGTGGCATGTGAATGGTTTCTCCCCTGTATGAAATCGTTAGTGTTTACGGAGATGACCATGAGAATGATTTGTCTCTCACTTGACATGTGAATGCTTTCTCCCCCTTCTGAATCGCTCAATGTTTCACTGAGCCCGATAACTGTGCAGACTTCTTGTTACACACCTCACCTGTGAACATTTTCTTTCCAGTGTCATTATGTCGGAGATTCACAAGCATTGATGACATTGCAAATACTTCCCACTTGAATGGTTTCTTTCCAGATGACTTTCCTTTTGTTAACAATTTTACAACAATCACACCTTGTATGTTAGAAGGTAGTATGAATTTCCTCCCAAACCTCACACTTGAACAGCCTCGCACCTGTAAGAGTGAGTCAGTGCTTCAGGAGGGTTGATAAATGATTGAAGCTGTCTTCAACTTGAAGCTACTCACACTTCTTCCCAGTCTCTTCGGAATCCTCACCTCGTAATCTTTGGAAAGGTTGGTTCTGATAGAAGACTCTACACTACTGATCAGTTTTGGATCTGATGATATGTCAAAGCTCTCCTGACCTGATTGATTTCCAGTTGATGGTTTCACTGCCAAACCTTCTCTGTGTTGAACAAAGCTGTGAAGGGACTCGATGTCTTCCCACTGTTACGCAGTTATTGTTTGGGTGATCTTCAGGATCTATCTGCACTATCTGTCCTCTCTACATTGTCTGGTGTAGTACAATGCAATCCTTTTGTTAAACAGTAAATAGAAACATGATTTTTTCCAACTCCCTCTCCCCATTTGTTGAAGGTTTGGACTCCTCAGTTCTTTCTTATTTATACTTTCACAGAGTCTGGGTGTTGCTGCTTAGGCCAGCATTTCTTGCCCATCTGTCACTGTCCTGGAGAAGGTGGTGGCAGTGAGCTGCCTTCTTGAACTGCTGGAGTCCATGTTATGTGGGGATACCCAAGGTGCTGTTATGGAGTGAGTTCCACGAATTTGACCCAGAGACACTTAAGCAGCAGCAATACATTTCCAATTCAGGATGATGTGTGGCTGCTCTCATCCAGGCCATGGAGAATATTGTGTCAGACTGCTGACTTACAGAGTCATAGGGTCATTCAGCACAGAAGCACACCCTTTGGTCCAACTAGTCCATGCCAACCAAGTTTCCCAAACTAAACTAGTCCCATTTGCCTGTGTTTGGCCCATTCCTCTCTAAACCTTTCCTATTCATGTACCTATCCATATGTCTTTTGAATGTCGTAACTGGACCTGTATCTACCACATCCTCTGGCAGTTCATTCTACGTACAAACCATCCTCTGTGTGAAAAAGTTACCCCTCAGATGCCTTTTAAAGCTTTGTCGTCTCACCTTAAAATATGCCCCCTAGTTATGAACTCTCCCACACCCCTCTCCCTGGGGAAATGTCCTTTGCTATTTACCTTATCTATGCCCATTCTGATGTTACAAATTCCTGTAAGAACATAAGAACTAGGAGCAGGAGTAGGCCATCTGGCCCCTCAAGCCTGTCCCGCCATTTAATAAGATCATGGCTGATCTTTTTGAGACTCAGCTCCACTTACCCGCCTGCTCACCATAACCCTTAATTCCTTTTCTGTTCAAAAATTTATCTAGCCTTGCCTTAAAAACATTCAGCAAGGTAGCTTCAACCGCTTCACTGGGCAGGGAATTCCACAGATTCACAACCCTTTGGGTGAAGAAGTTCCTCCTGACCTTAGTCCTACATCTGCTTCCCTTTATTTTGAGGCTATGCCCCCTCGTCCTAGTTTCACCTGCTAGTGGAAACAACCTCCCTGCTTCCACCTTATCTATTCCCTTCATGATCTTGTATGTTTCTATAAGATCTCCCCTCATTCTTCTGAATTCCAATGAGTATATTCCCAGCCTACTCAGTCTCTCCTCATAATCCAACCCTCTCAACTCTGGAATCAACCAAGTGAATCTCCTCTGCACCCCCTCCAGTGCTAGTATATCCCTTCTCAAGTAAGGAGACCAAAACTGCACACAGTACTCCAGGTGTGGCCTCACCAGGACCCTATACAGCTGCAGCATAGCCTCCCTGTTTTTAAACTCCATCCCTCTAGCAATGACAGACAAAATTCCATCTGCCTTTTTAATTACCTGTTGCACCTGCAATCCTACTTTTAGCGATTCATGCATGAGAACACCCAAGACCCTCTGCACAGCAGCGTGCTGCAATTTTTTATCATTTAAAACATAGTCCATTTTGCTGTTATTCCTACCAAATGGATGACATCACACTTATCAACATTGTACTCCATCTGCCAGACCTTTGCCCACTTACTCATATCCCTCTGCAGACTTTCAGTGTCACTTGGCTCAGCACACTTCACTCTACCACTCATCTTAATGTCATCTGCAAATTTTGACACACCACACTTAGTCCCCAACTCCACATCATCTATGTAAATTGTAAACAATTGCAGTCCCAACACTGATCCCTGAGGCACACCACTAGCTACTGACTGCCAACCAGAAAAACACCCATTTACCCCTACCGTTTGCTTTCTACTAGTCAACCAATCCTCTATCCATGCCAATACATTACTTGTAATAAAAACCAAAAGAACTGTGGATGCTGTAAATCAGGAACAAAAACAAAGTTGCTGGAAAAGCTCAGCAGGTCTGGCAGCATCTGTGGAGGAGAAAACAGAGTTAATGTTTCGGGTCCATTGATCCTTTCTCAGAACTCAGAACTCAAAAACTCATTACCTGTAATACCGTGCAACTTTATCTTATGTAGCAGCCTTTGGTGTGGTACCTTGTCAAATGCCTTCTGGAAATCCAGATATACTACATCCACAGGTCCCCCACTGTCCACAAAGTAATGTCCTCAAAGAATTCCACCAAGTTAGTTAAACATGACCTTCCCTTCATGAACCCATGCTGGGTGTTCCCAGTGGGACAATTTATATCCAGATGTCTTGCTATTTCTTCCTTAATGATAGATTCAAGCATTTTCCCCACTACCGAAGTTAAGCTAACTGGCCTATAGTTACCTGCTTTTTGTCTACTTCCTTTTTTAAACAGTGGCATCACATTGGCTGTTTTCCAATCTGCGGGAACCACCTCAGAGTCCAGTGAATTTTGGTAAATAATTACTAGTGCATTTGCTATTTCTTCATCACCTCTTTTAGTACCCTGGGATGCATCTCATCAGGGCCAGGAGACTTGTCTACCTTTAGCCCCATTAGCTTGCCCAGCACTGCCTCCTTAGTGATAATGATAGTTTCTAGGTCCTCACCTGCTATAACCTTCTTGCTATCAGTTTTCGGCACGTTATTTGTGTCTTCCACTGTGAAGACTGACACAAAATAATGGTTTAATGCCTCAGCTATTTCCTCATTCCCAGTTATTAAATTGGCCTTCTCATCCTCTGAAGGAGCAATGTTTACCTTTGCCACTCTTTTACGATGTACATATTTGTAGAAACTTTTGCTGCCTCTTTTAATATTCTAAGCTAGTTTACTCTCATAATCTATCTTACTTTTCTTTTTAACGTTTTTTGTGGCTTTCTGTTGGCCTTTAAAGATTTCCCAGTCGACTAGTTTCCCACTACTCTCTGCTTTTTTTGTATGTGTTTTTTTTTTCAGTCTGATACTTTCCTTTATTTCCTTAGACATCCATGGCTGACTATTTCTTTTCCTACAGTTCCTCCTTATCACTGGAATATACTTCTGCTGAACACTGTGAAAAATCATTTTGAAAGTCCTCCACTGTTCCTCAATTGATCCACCATGAAGTTTTTGCTCCCATTTTACCTTAGCTAACTCCTCCCTCATCCCATCATAGTCCCCTTTGTTTAAGCAGAGGACATTAGTACTGGATTTACCCTTTTCACGCTCCATCTGTATTTTAAATTCGACCATACTGTGATCGCTCCTTCCGAGAGGATCCCTAACTGTGAGATTGTTAATTATTCCTGTCTCAGCACACAGGACTAGATCTAGGATAGCTTGCTCCCTCGTAGGTTCCCTTACGTATTGTTCAAGGAAATTATCGTGGATGCATTCTATGAACCCCTCCTCAAAGCTGCGATGACCGACCTGGTTTGACCAATCAATATGTAGATTAAAATCCCCCATGATAATTGCTGTACCATTTTTACATGTATTAGCTATTTCTATGTTTACTGCCCGCCCCACCACGATGTCACTATTTGGTGGCCTATAGACCACACCTATCAGTGACTTCCTCTCCCTGCTATTCCTAATTTCCACTCAAATGGATTCAACCTTTTGTTCAGTAGAACTTATATCATCTCTCACTACCGCCCTGATGTCATCCTTAAAAATCAGAGCGACACCACCTCCCTTACCTTCCTGTCTGTCCTTCCCAACAGTTTGATACCCCTGGATATTTAACTCCCAGTCATGACCATCCTGCAACCATGTCTCTGCAATGGCCACTAAATCATACCCATTTGCCATGATTTGCACCATCAACTCACCCACCTTGTTCCGTATGCTCCGAGCATTCAGATAAAGTGCCCTTATGCTAGTTTTTGCACCTTCTTTTTGAGTCCTGTCACCTCCATTACTAACAGCTCTTGAGTTCTCCTTCCCTTTAACTTTTTTCCTAATTTTCACTGGAGTTGAAGCTTCCTCGTCACCTGCTAACCTGCTGCTTTGCCTTCCGTTAATTGTTATACTCCCTGTACGCTTACTCCTCCCTTCCCCCCCGACTTACTAGTTTAAAGTCCTATTGACCACCCTATTTACCCTTTTCACCAGAACATTGGACCCGGCCCTGTTCAGGTGGAGTCCATCCCAGCGGTATAGATCCCTCCTGTCCCAGAACTCATGCCATTGCCCCATGAAAAGGAAACCCTCTTTCCCA